CAAGGTTGCTGCTGCCACCACTTTCCAGTCTATGGCCGAAGGGTCCTCCGCCTTATTTAGCAGGTTGACGATTGTTGTTGTGCTCATGAATGCTCGTCTGATTCTTTCTCAGTGCAGTGGGGGGATCAGAGAGTGATCTCCCTGATTGTCTGCTTTCAAGACAGCCATGAGCACCGCATCAGTGACTGCCTTGAGGCGGTTTCTGACCTTTCTGTGTTTGTGCAACAGGCGGGGGGGTTTAGGAGTTGGCTGTCCCCCTTCTTCCCTGGCGTCCAATCCCCCTTCCCCTTCCGTGTCTTCTTCCCTGGTTGGAAGTGGAGGGAGAGCCTCCCCCGTGGTGGGGGCGGGAGGGGGGCTTTGACCCATCACCGGGTACATGCCGATGTTCATATCCCTGGGCAGTTGGCCATTCAAGATGGCCGCTGTCTCAGAGGGAATATTAATCATCGGGGCGAGCGGGGGGGTCCCCAATGTGAGGGGTTGTTGGCAGTGGAGCTGATGGGAATTGGGATAAAGAGAACCAAGACCACCCACCCCCGCAGCGAGAGCATATGTAAGCGGTGGGTCCGAGTGTCCCGGAGGGAGGGGGCCTGACTGATCCATGGGGAGCTTCCCCATAGAGTCGTGACATGCCAGCTCCACCCCCTCCATGTTCTTACCTTTATCCTGTGCTATGGCCGGTATCAGAGCCGCCATTGCTGCCAACTTCCCCTTCCACTGTTCCAGGTTCGTGGTCTGGTGCCCCCCCTTGTCCCTGCCCCTAACCAGTCCTTTGGATATTGGCAGGGACACCTTGGGGTGCGGTCGTGCTTGAGGGTCAGTGACGGTTGAACTCTCCGGTTTTTTTTGTACCTCAGGGAGAGGAGGGGGCCCAGTGGTTGGAGCCGAGGTCGGGGTCGAGGTCAGAGTCGGAGCCTCGACGTGTGGGTGGGCAGGTGCCGGAGGCGGTGGTGGTGGGGGGGGGGGGGGGGGGGGGGGGGGGGGGGGGGGGGGGGGGGGGGGGGGGGGGGGGGGGGGGGGGGGGGGGGGGGGGGGGGGGGGGGGGGTGTATATCCTGTCTGTTGTGGTTGTACGCAGGCTGTGTGATCAGGACGCCCGGAGGCGGTGGTGGTGGTGGGGGGGGTATATCCTGTCTGTTGTGGTTGTACGTGGGCTGTGTGATCAGGACGTCGTCCTTGTATTGGGGATTCCCCCCCTCCATCCTTTTCGTGCCTCTCCCCTCCTTGCTGCTGTCCTTGTCCACTTTCTCTTGGCAGTCCCCCTGCCCACTTATGTCCCCCTCCGCCATCCCCTTCGTCTGATTCTCACTTCCTGTTTCTCTGTCCTTGCTCTTCTCCACTTCCGTTTCTGCGTCTCCTCTTCCCTTGTCTTTCTCACCCGTCTGCTCATCCACTTGAGGCTGCTCTTCTCTCTCAGGATTGTCCGGCCTTGCGTCATCCTTGTCCTTCTGTATGTGTTTCTGTTTCTGGACCCGATTTTTACCTGTCTTGTCGTGTGTGGGCGAGGGGGGGTCTTTTTCCTTTCGTCCTGTTTCCCTCTGAGAATTGCGTTTGGTTGCGCTCGGCTAGGTGTTGTTTGCCGGGGAGCGACCCGGGCTCCCCTCACCTTCGCAGGTCCATGTCCCGGGTTTATTAGTGCTGGGTCTGCGAAACACCCATCCTTCAAAGGTAGGGTCTTCAGGGACCCATCTGCCCGGTCCTTCCGGGTGAGGATTCACCAGCCCCTTCATGTGACGCCCGCGGATGTTTGGGCAGTGGAGATCGGTGCTCAGGTGACCCCTGTGGTTGCATTCATAGCACCAGGGGTCCTGCGGGTGGTTCACTTGAACTGCATACGTCCTGCCTTCTTGGTTGAAGGACCATTAGCTGCTCACCGGAAAACCATCCGCAGGGTCCCAGTCCACTGCCACTAAGAGCGTGTCATCCCGTTTGGGAAGAAACTTGGGCTGATCTGTTATATATCCCAGCACAGGAGCGATCTGCTGCAGATCCGCCAGGATGGCGCCTTGTACACACAGAGGGGCGAATCTGAATTCCACCCAGAAGTGCTCCCTCATGAGCTGCTCTCTCCTTTGATCAGATGTAAACGGGGCCGGAGGCTTCCATGGTCTGACAATTGTGTGGAATGTTCTGAATTTGAGTGCGGTGCGCTTAAGCAGGTTTCCCCTGTCCACCGGATGGACAACGATGACTGATACTGTGTTCTGCCCGACTGTTTCCACCAGGAAGTGGTCATTGACCTCCTGATCATCGGTCTTAATTGCCCTCAGACGGTCGTACACCCATCTGAGTTTTTCATTGATGGACACTGCTGTCACCTCCTGGGGGAAAATGTACTGAATTGCATGTCGCGAGTAGATGAGGTTCCTATAAATCGCTGCTTGTGGGGTGAAGAGGGCATGGGGGTAAATGTACCCATCCTTCTCAATGTATTTTTTTGCGGGGCGGGTGTGCAGCTTCTGGATGAAATGAGCCTTCATCAGACCCATGGCATCCAAGGCCATCGATCCATCCGTGGAGTTGTTTCCTGCTGCAGCTAATGCTTGCACAAGGGCTTGAGAGTCCTGTGAGATCTTTTGGGGGGGAGATTCGTCCCCTTGCTTGTGCTTTGATAGTGATGGCTCATTTCCCCCCTGGTCTGGGGAATTCCGAGGCGGGGCCGGATGTCGGTCTGCATCATCTCGCCCATCTGCGTGGTCCAGCGTGGCCTCTGTTTGGCTGTCTGTCTTCTCCCCCTCCTTGTGTTTGTCGGGGGGGGGGGGGGCAAGGGACGTGTCATGTGTCCCGTTTTCGGAGTTCAGATGTTATTATCAAACTTGTGATGCCCCCTTTGTTTGATGTGGCTTGTCGTCCTTCTCCTGTAAACGTACCTCGGGGGGGCCATTCAGTCTGCCCATGCACTTGTCTTATAATGTGCCTGTGTTATGTGTTATGTTTTCCCCCGAGGCAAAGTTGTGCTATGCGTTTATATGTTAAAGTGTAGCGGGATCGTGTCTATGCATGTGTTTGTTGGAGTGTTCTCGTGTGTCTGTCACGGTGTTCACCTAGATAACCGTATGAAGGTGAATCAGACGTTCCCCAGTCGTCTCCCGCAGGTAGGGTTGGGCGATGAGGAGGTGTGTGAGCTGTCTCTTATACACATCTAGATGTGTATAAGAGACAGGTCCTCCCGTTTAGGGGCGGTGATGGATTTCGCGTCAGCAATCCCGCTGTGCTCCCAGCCGCTCCCTCCTGCTTCGTTCCTTCAGCTGTTCGTCGCGAGGGTCTTGCCCCCTTGGCTCCGTCGTCCTTCCGCTCCAACTCGATCTTTTAGTGTCTTCTTCGTGCAACCAGATCCGAAGTCATCTTTACTCCTGATCTTTTCGTTGTTTCCCCCCATGCCCTCCACCCCCCTTATTCGCACGTGTCGTCGTCTTTTCTCTCCCAGCCGCTCCCTCCAGCGTCGTTTCTTGAGGTTTTCGACGCATGCCTCTTTTCCTCTTTCTCCCGTGTCCCTGATTTCGTCGTCCTCACCCTCTCTCTCCTCTCCCCTTTCTCCCGTGTCCCTGATTCCGTCGTCCTCACCCTCTCTCCCCTCCCCCCTCTCCCGCTATGGCGATCCTTCGTCCCTGACAATCTTTCGCTGTCGTCTCCAAACCTGTCTCTTATACACATCTAGATGTGTATAAGAGACAGTTTAACGACAGCGCGGCTCGTTCAATGACAGCTGGCACTCCCTCTGTTTCTCCTCGCCCAAGCTTCTCTTCTCTGCGAGCGGCGTGCCCGATCACTGTCCGGAGTCGTTTCCCCAGCTTTCCCAGTAGGAATGGCGCATGGACGCATCCGAGGGAGTATTCTTGCCACCTTGCTTCGCAGCTATGGCGACAGATCCCCTCGCCTTCGTCTCGATGTTGACGTAGTCAACGGGAGTGCGACTGAGCCTCGTCGTGCCGGTCCCGTTAGCGCGTCCGTCCTTGTCAAAGTGCCCAATGTTAATGAAGGATTCAGTCTCATTTTGCACGGTCGGAGAGTAGCACCGCAACAAAAGCCTTCGGTGCACGCGCACGGCAAGGATAAAAAATCACGTTTAATTTTTTCCTCCGTCGATCTCCCAATTTAACGAACGGTCAGATAACCGGTTCCCAACTTTCCTGTACTGGAAACCGGGCTGTGCCCGCAATTCGTCCAAAGACCGCACCGCTGTCCCTACGACCCCTGCCACGTTGGCTCACAGAACGACCGGTCGGTGTCGTGTTAGCGATCGCGACGCCCTATATACCCACTTACACCTATGTTTTAGGCCTAGTTGCACGACTGTGCACGACTTGCCATCCGACAACATTGTGAATGCAGCTGGACAAAGTAGTTGTCTCGGTGCACTCTAAATGACAACAGACATTCCCCAAACGGAAAAGCAGCCACTACACGACAAAACACATCCATGTATACGCAGCCATCCTGGCTGCAAACTCAAGTTTGGTGAGTCATGGAGCCAGACCCATTGGCTGGTTATCTATCCACGTTTTTAACGAGGGGTTAATTGCAGAAATTGCGCAGTTTCAAAGTCTCGCGGCTGAAAAACTGATGTATGTTTGCAAAGAAAGTGGCACCCGGCCGCGTGCGAATATTTTTTTGCTCTGGAAATACTGGGACCTGTAAGGCTGCAATGAAATATGTACTTCAGCAATGAAAGTTGGGTCCTGCCACTGATTTTGTTGTGTGCTATTTTTGAAAGATGGAACCGACGGTAGCCCACTCATGCTGTACACAACCCTACGTACGTTTCAGCCCATTGTCCACACCAACTTTCTCAGGGGTTAGGCTTGTGGGTTGAAATTGGAGGGGAGGAGAAGGGTCTCTATTGGTTCGAATAGAAGAGGATCGAAATCCTAGAGGAGAATGGGGAGATAGATTAGCGATTTAGCAAGGAGACGTTTGAATGCAAAAAGAAGACAATTGACTAAGGAAGAAGAGCTATGGAAAGCAAAAGGAAAATCATGGCCGCCGCATTGGCCGGCATAGTAAAGATTTGAATTTTTGTTAAAAACAAAAAAAAAAGGAAGGAGAATCATGACTACATTGGTTATAAACATCTCTCTCTCTCTCTCTCTCTCTCTCTCTCTCTCTCTCTCTCTCTCTCTCTCTCTCTCTCTCTCACACACACACACACACACACACACACTCACAATCAATCAATCAATCAATCAATCAATCAATCAATCAAACCCCTTTCTTGTTTATTTATTTTGAAATTCTGCATCTGCCTTTTTTTTTTGTTTTGTTTTTTTTTTACCATCTGCATTTTTTTAAAACACCTCATACCCCTGCAAAAAACAGAAATTCATTTCTAAAAAAAATACAGGTCAACTCAGGGACCATATATCTCATGATAAAAAATGACAAAAAAAAAATCCTGCTTTTCTTTATATATATATTTTTTATTTTCTTTAAATCCAATTTAGTTTTTGATTTTTTAAAAATCCTAAACAAAGTCGAATTCCAAAAAAAGAAGATGGGTTGTAGGGCTTAAAATTCCCTACAACCATATACTTTTTTATTTTTTTTTACCTACTATTTAATTCAAAAACATTCTGGTAAAATCAGGTCAACAGCACGGACCAGGACGGCCGCGGACACGGCCACACATGCGGCCGCCATCCGAGATCAGCCCCGCGGACGCGTTCACGGGTATTTAATTTGAGGACGCGTCCGCGGATGAAGTAGAGTGCAAGTAGGGGAAAAGCGGAGTGCATCCTCACGGTCACCGACCCCTCTTCCCCTTCCGGCTCTGTCTCCTCGTACCCCCTCGAGTGCCCGATGTCAACCTCCTCCTCCCTCGTGTGGATAAAGAAGTCTGCGCAGCGGAGCATCTAGATGCACGCGTCAGTGGGGGAGGTGGGGGCTCATTGTCGTCGTCACCATCGTCGCCGCTCTCGCTCTCCTCCTCCCCCTCCTCCTCCCTCTCATAGTCCTCGTCCTCCTCCACCACTGCCTATGCCGTCTCCGGATCATCCTCCTCGATGGTGACAGGACCTCCTCCCTTCCTCAACACAACAACCCTCGTACCAGCCTCTGCAACCGTCTGCTCATGGCGGGATCCATGAGGCATCCCCAACCCCTAAGCCCCCGAACTCTCTCCAAGTGCAGCGCCTCCCTCTCTAGCCACAGGGCGTGGACGAGGAGTCACTCCACGCTTGCGTGGAGTCTGCTCATGCACAGCACGTGTCGCTCCTCTAAGAGCGTGGTCCAAGGTCGTGGCGGACACTCCTCTTCCGCGACCTCACTGAGGCTCACAACCTGATGTTGCTACCTCCTTTGCTGCGGTCATCCTAACGCCGCGGGGTTCCAAGCCCCGTTGAAGGCGTGCAGTGTGCTGCGTGACACGGTGGGTGGAATCCAAACCTATGTCCGTCCTCCCGAATAATGTCGTGTCACACATGTCCCGCTCAAATGCTGTCGTGTCACGAGTCCTCGATCTCCAGGGCGTGTGTGGGAATCGAGAGTCTCTGCCTGTGGGTGACAATGATGGATCACCCACAGGTGGTCTAGGAGGAGAGGGTGGCATGTCTCCTGTACGTGGCGTTGTCTCTGCACTCCACCCGAAACCCCTGGAACATCTCCTACGGTACGTCCTCCGCTCAAGGTAGACCCAGACCACACGGGCTACAAAGGACCCCATGGAACCGAAGGAATGACCTGTCATGGTGGATGCTCGAGCCTCTGGTCGAAGATCCGTCGGTCCAATCGAGGAACATCGCACACAACATCTCTCGCCAACTCCTCTGCATCCAAAGGACGATGGACCTCCTGCGGAGCAAAGTGACTAGGAGGACGTGGAGGCACAACCACCGGCTCGGACCCCAAATCTGTGATAACGGGTGGTGGCACATCATGCACTGCCACCTGAACCGGCTGCGACCGTCGGCCCTCCGCCAAGTACAGGCCTGAGAATGGAACGACTGGACCCGTCGTTGTCTTCTAAACCACAGGCCGTGCGTCTCTGGCCCGATCGTCTTGCCCCTGTCCTGCCTGCACAGCCTCATCCACCGCTTGCGGCCGGCCCTCCACAGGAACATCCACTGCCTCTGACCCACCCTGCATAGCCTCATCGTCCGCCTCTGCTGCCACTCCCTCCATAACGTCCTCCCCTGCCACCACCCCGCCCTGCACACCCCCCCCCCCTGTCTCTCGACGTCTGGCCTCCTCCAAGGCTCGTGCGAACGCCTGAGCACGCGGGTTACTCGATGGCATAAGTCGAGCCCTCTCTCACTCCATGATGTCGCGTGTTGTATTTGGAGACTCCGCCTCCGTCTTCTCTCTCGAGGTCTGCGTCCCCGTCTCGCCTGCTGCGTCGTGCCGTGATGGCGCCAGATCCATCGATGTCGCCCCGCCCGCTGCGTCGTGTCGTGTCCCCGTCTCACCTGCTACGTCATGTCGTGATGCGCCCGATCTGTCGATGTTGCCCCGCCGCAACTAGGTGGACCGCCTATCGACATGTCGAAGTCGAAGTGCGTCCCCATCTCTGACCGCGCCCGCCCTGTGGGAGGACAAATCCCCAGCTCCATCGCCATCCCCGGGGTTAAACCCCCTACGACTGGATCGACCTCCTCCCTGATGTAGCGTTGCACGAGCTGCTCATCGGCGTTCGCATCATCATGATCCATAGGAACGGCTGCCAACGTTGCCGCTGCCGCTACCTCCTCCTCCCTCTCCACTGCTGCTGCGATCTCCCCCTCCACTGTTGCGACACCTTCCACCTCCTCCTCAGTCGTCGCCTGTGCTGGCACCTCCTCCTCCGTTGTCGCGACTGTTGGTGCCTCCTGCGTCGTTGCTGCCACATCCCCCTCCTCTAGTGCATCCCCCGGGGAAGGTGATCGTAACCTCAACTTTCGAACCACCGTCGATCTTTGGAGAAGCCCGTGCGGAGGAAAGGAGGTAGCCAACTCCTCCGTCTCCGCCTGTGTAGTGGCCGGCTGAAGAGGCGAGACGGGGGTGGGCGGTGTAGGACTCGGCGCAGGAGGTGGCCTAATGGGCGACTCTCGCCTCGTAGGAGTAGGAGTCGGCCTCCCCACCTCTGCGCGGCTCGTGCCTGCATGTGAGCCCCCGACTCTGGCATCACGCACATCACCCGTGGAAGCCACCTTCCCAAAAGGGCCCCAAAAATCCTCGTCTCCCCCCAACATGTCCCTGTCCGCCCGGTTCGACCTCCGTCGTGTGGTGTATGTCCTCATCTCGGCGTCATCGGCCTCCCCGTGCGTCTCGTCAATCTCGCGAGGGACTATGTGTCCGAAATTGGATTTAACGCGGGTTTCGCGTTGAAAAATTCAACGCGCGGTGAATTCGCGTTCAATCCCCGTTTGAACGCGCATTGGACGGGGAAAACGGGTTCCGCAATGATTTTTTTCCTAGGCTAAGCATAATCAAAAAAAAAATAAAAAAAAATGGGGTCGTAGATCTTTTTGAGGTCTACGACCCCATAATGTTTTTTATTTTTTTAGCTTTTAATATATATTTTAAGAAATAAAAAACATAAGCACAATGAAAAAACAAAAACAACAAATGACACGAGCCTTTTGTTTTTTGGGTTTCACAGAAATTTTTTAAGGGCTAAAAAAAAACCAGAAAAACAAAATAAAAAATATAGGGTTGTAGATCTTTCAAAGTAGTACAACAATTTTTTTTTTTTTTTTTTTTTCTTATAACCTCGGGTATTTTAAAAAAAATCAAAACCATAAACAACATATTTTTTGGTCAGCATTGCGTAGGTAATCTTGCTGGGTAGACTCCCTGTTGGGTAAACTCCCTGATTTGGCCTGCTGGATTCACTGTTGTTGTACCAACCACCGACTGGGAAACACTCTGCCGTGATTTCCAGTGGGAGGTCTCTGTTTTTTTGTTTTTTTTTTTGCCTTTCTCCTGTTTTCTCAGCCCAAAAACTCGTAATGAACCTGTCAGGTCGCTGCCACTCAGTGTCACACTGGATCGGCCACACTCCAATCCGTCTGCTAATGGGACCATGCCCCTGGGGTGTGGTCCCATTAGAAGTCCGATAGAAGCGTGGCCGATCCAGTGTGACACTAGGTGGCAGCGGCCAGACAGGTTTATTACGAATTTCTAGGCTGAGAAAATAGGACAAAGGCCACAAAAAAAAAAAAAACAGAGACCTCCACCGGAAGTCACCGCAGAGTGCTTCCCAGCCATCAGATCACAAATGATCAGATGGTGGTGGTTGCAAAAACAGTGAACAAAGTAACCGCCAGACTTCTGACAGCARTGATCCTGACACCCTCCATATACTCCGTGATTGAAGGAGGGCTCCACCCAATGAGATAATTGCACAACAAYAAGTAAAATGCTGTCTGGTCGAAGTTGCCCTCAATACTGGTAGGGTGATCACCTGGTGATGGTCCTGAGTGCTGGTCACACTGAGGTAGGATAGTAGGGAAAGGGGGTGTGCTGGGAGTATTTACGTGGAGATGGGTAGGGTAGGTGGCCTATCCCAACAGGACAACCATTCCCTGTTGCTACCAGCAATCACATGTTTTGTCTTCTACAACACCCTGGGCTTCAAAAAAAAAAAAAAAAAAAAGAATGCTAGAACG